CTTCAGTTTCATTTCTGATACTTTTACCTAGGCCTTCAAACCATTCATTCAGTTATTAAGTTTATTACAAAATACCAAAAGGTAAGAGAATAAAGAAAGATTAAAGAATTAGAAAAGAAAACAGGAAAAGAAACAAGTTCGCATTGACGCAGACACAAGACTTCTTTATTGAAAAGTACGAATTTGTTAGTAATATAAATATTTATTCATTACATTCGCTTTGGCTGTGTCTTTAATCCACTCCAAAGGAGATCACAGAATTTAGAAAACACGTTTTCAGGAGCTTGTCACGTTCAAAGTCGCGAACACTCTTCAGTTCAATGCAATAGTGTACCTCAAAGTTATTATTGAAATGGATACCTATGATGATAAAGAAAATTATGAAGTTTGTTCAGTATCAGGTGTTGCGACTAAGGTAGATACTTACCCTTTATTTTAGAGAAACTGGTTCTACAAAGAGGGTAACACAAGAGGGAGACTCAGGCGTCAACTTGGTCTGTCTTGCAACTATTTTACTTTGCAATATGTAACGTGTCACTTTCTGTTTAGGCAGGGCTACTCAATTACTTCGCAAGAGTTTAGCGAAGGGTGATGTCCCTTATGCTGACATAGAAGATTCAATTGATTTGATTATGAACAACGTGCACATGTCCCACAAGTTCGATACACTCTTAGAAGTGAGTAAGGTGAAAGTCATTCAACAGAATTGATTTATTCTTTTCCAGGAAAGGAATTACGTCAATCGCATGTTTGCTGAACACCTAGAGAAGTACGACATCTTCTAACTCCGTTTAACTCTTTTCTCGAAAAGTAGTAATTTCGGAATTGTTTTAATAAAAGCATGCACTCAACCCTCGTATGCTCAAAAATTTTATTTGTGAAAGTAAGCCAAATTGACAAAAAAAGATATAGCTCAATGTTTCATCAAGTCCACGTCGAAAGATTGACAATAAGGCCTCCGGTCAATTCTTGGCCTGAAAATTGCATGTGTTAGTAAAGATATAAATACATATGATACTACCGACACTGCCTAATTTTTGTCTGAAAACAAGAAAATGTCAGTGTTTTTTT